TTTGGGGGGGGGGTGATTTCTCACTTTCTGTCTCTCTCTGTCTCTCTGGTGAGTGCACGCACCCTATACCAACAATCTCTCTTAAAAAAAAAAAAAATCGTGATCTTAGAGTTGCAGCCAAAAAGGAGTTTGCTCCTCCCAACTCTTTCTACTCAACTTAAAACAACAAAAACAAGCCAGATCTAGTTCTCTGAGATCCAGTCCTGCTCAGGCTTCTTGCATTACCGTGCCTGGGCCCACTCTCTCTGGTGTCCAGGAGAGTGTTCTGATCACAGCCTTGTGATTGGCAGAACAGGCTCAGAGGGGTGCTGACCTCCGCACTGTGGATGGCAAAGATAACACCACCACTGACACAGCTGCATAACCAAGGCTCTTGCACGTTTGTGATCTTGTGGGGTCCTTTAACTGCCTGGTGACCCCAGGAAGGCAGCTTTCAGTAAGGAAAGCTGTTAGAGACCAGCCAAGCTACTGCCCTGGTGGGTACTCAGCTGGCCAGCCCCATCCCTCCCCTTGCACTGAGAACAGAAGAAAACAGGCCTCTGAGAGGCTGGCGAGGAGCAAAAGCAGTGTTTGTCAGCAGCTGATGAGAGGGGAGACTACTAAAATCAGTGGGCTAAGTGGGGAAGGCTGGGACTGATCCCCCCTCCCCCCACGAAGCAGTCCAGCGCAGAGGCAGTGTCCTAGCAGCAGAGCCCAGGCCTCGGGCCTTGCCCCTCCCCCTCAGGATGGACTACAGGCCCACACTCAGACTCTGTGCCCATAAAGGCCAGATGAAGCGCTGGTCCAGAACCTGGCGGCAGCGCCGGGCCCCTGCAGCCACCAGCTGCAGCCCAGAGCGTGCCAGCGCGACCAACTTTTCCAAGTTGTCTAGGCGCTAGGGTGAAGGGTGCCTACTCCCCAGCGCGCGCCAAACGGAGGTGGGGCAGCCCGGGATCTTCCAGCCCAAGCGAGTTCGGTCTCCACCGAAGTTCTTCAGCACCCCAAGGTCCCCTCCCGGAGGTTACGCCTCCCCACCCCCCACACCAGTTCCCGGGGCCCAGTACCTGAGCAGGCGGACACCCTGCAAACTCGCTTCCTGCCAACTCCGAGAGAGAACAGCCCGGGCCCCCAGCACTCCCGGGCTCCCGGCGCACAGCCTTCCGAGGCGCAGCATCCCGATGTAGACAACCATGGTTCACTTCGCCCCGCGTCCCGACCTGAGTAAACTTTTAAAGTGAGCCAAGGCGGGGCGAGAGCGGAGCAGGCGGGGAGGTGGGAGGGTCGCCTCTGCCTATGGGTGCGGAGGACTCAGTCCGGGTAGGGCGGGGCGAGGCAAGGAGGTGGCGTCTGTGCAGAGTTCGGGGGCCTAGAATTCTGTTGATTTCGTAGTGGGGAGCCAGTATTGTACTAAGGCAGGGTCAGATGGCAAGGCCAAGCCGGGTCCACGTCCTGAGCCCAATTTAGCGCGCGGGTCACGTGC